CAGGCTTACTAATTATTGTTTACACTTTCGAATAAGATAACATCAACTTATCGTGAAATTTGCAAATGCTTTTCTTTTGAAAATGGTGCGTCCTAGCAAGGTACAACAAAAGTAGCTTTATTATAAAGAAAATATTGGTTTTCCAAATTTTGTAGTCAAAAATTTTAAAAACAGTCACCAAAAAAACTTGGGACAATTTAACCCTAAGCCCCTCCCCCAATTTACCCACCAATGGCACCAATGGCACCAACTGGCATTTAGTCCTTCAAATAGAGCGTAAAAAGTTTAGAATTTGTACCAAATTTCATCTAGTTATCTTTAAAATGTGTCATCAGGACTTCACTTTTAACACCCCGTAGCTCGGAAACAAAACGTTTTCGGATCTATGTTTATATAAACTTTTACTTCTATTTTAGGGTGTAGATTACGCTGTTAGAACATGACCGTCTAATTTCGGGACACCCTGTATATTAACCTATAAAATAAATTATATGCCAACTCCTTTACAAAGTACTGTCAATACAGTTGAATCCCGAATTTAATAGGTAGTAATGGAATATGTGAAGAACACTCATCTGTCAGTCTGTCAGTTTTGTTGAAATTTTTAAGGTTCGGGATAAGGAGACATTTTTTTAGTATTGGGTGTATCGCAAATATACCGACAAACTTTTAGGATTGGAAGGAGATATACATTTTTTGGACTAACAAGGTCTATTCGAAAACTATTTTAATAAACGTATATCCGAAAATTATTTGGTAACTTTTTGTTTCTAAGATGCAGAGTGTAAATTTTTTTAGGCTTGTCCACGGGACAGAATATCTCCCTGTATATTTTTGAAAATTGTTTAATATTTTTTATTCGTTTCCGTTTTGAGTTGTATTTTTAGTCGTTTCAGAAAAGTGCAAGATTTTTTTTAGAAAACGAAGAGAAATACAGAAAAATAATCAGGCGAGAAAAGTTGTATTTTTAGTTGCTTTATTCAAAACAATTATTAGGGTAACTGAGTCAGTGATTGGCCCTTTAAGACTTTATAATTAGTATTTATGCTGCCATTAAAATATTATGCATTGAATCACTTCTAAATGTTTGCTCAGAAATGCTGTAAAAGTACGAAAATTATTTACACAATTTTTGTTTATAAATAATTAAGCACAATTTAGATAAAATAAATTTATTGAAACTATTCATGATTTACCAAAGATTGGCCTCTCTGTCGCAAATATTGACCATACTAATATCAGTGATTGGCCATACAAATAAATGTAGTGAGGAAGTAAAACAGGAAACGTTGCAAATGGTTTGAAAGTAATTTTTATTGTGTAAAACTGTACAGTTTTTAGTTAAGAAATTAAATGTTAATTTATTCATTTTTTCTTTAAGCAAGTTGAACAATGAAAAATAGCGGAATTTGATTTGTACATGTTGTGTTTTTTTAAACACTTAACATGGTAGATTCTTTGACAAGTCATACATCTTATTCCAAAATTTTGAATTGTGCAATTAGAAGTGCAACTATAACATAGACCAACAACTTTTTTGATATTTAAATCTCCAGAAAGTCCTATTTCCTCCAATGACTTTTGTAAACTGTCTTACGGATTTTAAACAATATTGGAAATAATATTTATGGATTTTCTTGAAATAAATTTTTCATAACATTTTTAATTTTTTTAGGTAATGGGCTCTCTGAAACTACAATATTTTCTTTCGTAGTGGTTTGTTTTAATTTTATTAAGCTCTTGCTTTTTCTGTTCTTTTTTGTACCTTTAATAATTCCCGTTCTTTTCTTTTATTCAAGCGTTCTTCTTTTTCAATTTCTTTTTGAATTTTCTCTTCTTCTTGTTGTCGTTTCAAGTCTTGCCACTCGGTCCCAGTTATGACATATGGATTTTGTGCTTTGTGTTGTATTTCACTAAAATTTACATCTTGTGCTTCACTGTTTGTTTCGACTTTGTTTGGGTCAGAAAAGGCTTCATCAATAATTATGCTCATTCAAATTAATTATAGTGTCATCACCTATATTTTTATTCACGCTGTCATTCATATTGGATATTTCCTCACCCTGAATGTCACTGTCAGTTTCATTCGTTTAAATAATTTTATTGATATCTTCATTTATTTTATTAATATCTTCAATAATTTTATTAATATCTTCATCAATTTTATTATTATCTTCATCTTGAAAGTTATTTGGTATTTTGCCATTAGGATTTTCACTTCTACTTGTTTCAGTATAAAATTTTTTCCATATATTATATAACATTATAAAGTCATCTGAATGGGACTCCTCGCTCTTGTAGTTTTAAAACTGTATTATGACTTGCTCGCCTATAGTATCTTTAAAAACTTTGTAAGTAATAAAAGCATTTTCTAAAATATCACTTACATGTGCTGCCTTAGTTTCAGATACATTATTTCGTCCTAAACAGTTGGAGTAATCGATAGCGTCCTCATTAAAGGGGAATAATCCTGTCGCACGGAACCCGTTCTGTATAGTTTTACATTTGGCATAGCTGTTGACAACATTTTATAAAATGGGTGAAAATTTGTCTTTTGTTAGAGTTTTGTTTAAGTTACCATTTCGTCTCCAATCCAAAATCAGTCACTTTTCGTAGGCTTAAAGGCTGCTACATCTGCTGGTTGAAGAATCCTTGTAGCATTAGAATAAAGGCTGATGTGTATTATGACCGTCCGTATAAAGTATTACTGGGAAAGGTATATCATTATTTTTCAAGTAGGGATATAATACCTTAGAAATGTATTCATAAATAAGATGAGCTTTCATCCAACCTGAATCGCTTACATATATTCCCCAGTCTGCAGGTACAGATTTCTTAATTTCATCTTTTAGTCTCTTTCTTTCTGTCTCAATCACCCATTTTTCTAATAGGTCTTCTTCTTTTGTTAAAATGGGATTGGGTCCAAAAGGGGGTCTTTCTCACTCTTCCTAAATAGCAGGGTAGCCCTTGGTATGGAAAATTTTCGTGCAGCTTCTCTAAGAGGCATTCCATTCTCAATTAATTTAAGAACTTTTTGAATTTCTTTTGAGTATTTTTTTACATATTTTTTCTCGCATTCTAAAACTTTTGGCATGACTCATCTGCAAATAATTTCAGTTATTAGCCACTGCATTTGATCAACTACTGAATTTTGTTGTTAATACTTGATATACAGGGTGTTTCAAAAAGGTATGTCATAAATTCATCCTCAGATAGATTACCAAAAAATAAGTGGATTTGGCTATATTTACCTACATCAAAAACTGGCTCCCAACAAAGTTACAGGGTGTTAAACTAACATTCAGAAAAACGTTTTTTTTTTTTGTAAATTCTTTATGTCAAAAAAAATACGGGGCGGTTAAAAGGTACCCAAACCCCCAACTTTTTTTAAAGGGGTTGCTTTAATTTTTTTTCTCCTTAGAATATTGGGCCTTTAAATCTACAGCACTGGCAAAAATTTCGAGAAAAAAAATCGCAACAGTAAACTTTTTACAAAAAAAAAACATTTTTCTGAATGTTAGTTTAACACCCTGTAACTTTGTTGGGAGCAAGTTTTTGGTAAATATAGCCAAATCCACTTATTTTTTGTTAATCTATCTGAGGATGAATTTATGACATACCTTTTTGAAACACCCTGTATAATCCAATATTTGCATGGTGCAATGATTTCCCACCCTTCTACAGCCATAAATATTTTTGCCTAAACCATTAATTCATCAGTAATTGGCCCGCCGGCCAATGACTAAAAATGACAAAAATAATTCTAATAAAGATTTATTTTCATTAATTCTTAGACATTTACTCACGTAAACTCATCAAGAACCACGCTGTTTGTATAATGAAATACCAAAAAAACCAGAAATACTAATAATTGGTCAAATAAATAATAATTTTACTTACTTTTGAAGTAGGCCTTACTGATTTATGAAAATCACTAAGAATACAATTTTTACACAACACGATACGACACGTTAAAATATTACGTCGCCATTTTATTCCAATACAGTTTAATTGCGCCACCTGTGCAACTTTAAAGAACCATTAAAATGAACCTTTGCACTGGTTGAAAAGGGACAGTCTCAGTTATTCTAGTTTTCTTATTATATCGATACAAAAATTTTGTGGCCAATCACTGCATAGGGGCCAATCACTGCCATATCTAATGAAAGTTATTATTTTTTTGGTATCAAATTTACTGTATTCTGGAAATTTTGCGTTTTAGGGTATATGTTTATTGACCAAAAATATTTGTTTTGATATCCCCTACCATGCCTAAAAGTTTGTCGGTATATTTACCAAATACCCTTTATTATACAGGGTGTCCCAGTGAAAAGTAGCCCGTTTCCATTTGATAAAATTTGGTTAGGGTGAACTTAAAAAAGGAGATTTTTAAAAAACACCCTAAATAGATAATACATAATTTCTATGTCACTAAGGCAAAACTTATAGCAAAATAATACATATCAGCAAAAACCGCACGTTTTTATGATTTGTTTAAAAGTTATAAGCTCTGGAAATGGGCTACTTTTTATTGGGACACCCTGTCAGCATTCATCACAAATTCCTGAAATTATATTCTGCCTATTACTTCCTATAGTTATTTATTTAATACATACTAACTTACAAATAATAGTAAAAGTTTCAACCTAAACCTAAGTTTGGTTAAACGAAAAACATAACAAACCTTGGAACCATTGATTTGAATTGTCTCCAAAACGAATTTTCCTATATTATGAAGTTACTACATAGCTTTATAATTAAGCATATAATGAAGTAATTTAAAAATAAATGTAAACACTGCAATTTAGTCGAATTAAATTTTTAAATCTAGTTATTATTTTTGATAATTAGCGCCCAATTTCGTAGATATATTCTATTAGTATAGCAACAGTATTTTTACGTACAAAATAATTTGTTTGGTAATTAGAATTAAGGGGCGCGTAAAGGGGTTAAACGGAAGTGGGAACACCCACTACTAGTTCTTGTAATTTCGCTTGCAGGCCCACCCGTGGATGTGGGAGTCACAATGTACGTGCTGAGTATCAGCTCGCTGTCCGAGGTCCAAATGGTTAGAGTCACTAATTTCTATATCGACTTATATTTAAATGTTTTGTTATTTTAATTAATGTAGACTTAGACCCGTCCCCGTGCAGACTGCAATTCTCGATCAGCCAGTTTCAATAGCATATTCTAAAGGATTGCTCAAAATGATGCGTCCGAGGTGGAGACCGCGCTTTAACGCAACCCATGTAATAAAATGATGCCATTCTTATACGAACGACCTCATTATTTATATAGGCTGCTATAGAACACTACCGCAATCGCTACCACGGCCGCATTGATTTCCGGAATCTTTATCTACCCAAATCCATAATTACACTGTGTACTTTGAGATTTTCTATCGGTGTATACACGTCTTTTATCAGATACACCGATATGATTTTCGATGAGTACACTCTAGTGTGGGTAGATGAATAGGCTAGTGCAGCTATTATTTTGTTTAATGCTCTGCTAGATATGATGGAGTTCATGATTATGCTTGTTAGATTATTTCAGTAAGCTTCTAGGGCGCTGCATGTTATTAATAGTTTTCATCGATAAATAATTTTGAAGGTTAATTAAATTATTATGCTCTGTTTATGGTAAGTTATTTTCATTTAAAAGAAGAATAACTGACGCTATGTCGACTTGTGGGATGGAATACAACTTAACTAGGTGAATTCAGCTGATTTTTAGTTACTGAATAGTTATAAGAAGTAGTAATGTCACAGCAATAGAGTTATTTTTACTGAAAGTTTTTTTAGGGTGAGGTGCTTATTTAGTTTAGTTACTTTACTAAAAAAGAGAAAAAAATCTAAGGACGACACTATCTATATCTGACAAGCCAATGTAAGGATTTTGTTAAATACTTGTAAAAATAGTAAACATATTATGATCATTTCATCTAAAAAATGTTGAAGGTTTTCTAATTTTCGTAGATGTAAATTTTCTTGTTCTAAATAGATCGCCCCTATTTTTTGTTTCGTATTCCGTTAGAAAATAGAATATAATTGTTTCTTTGTTTAACCTCTGTTAAAATGGATAATTTATTAGAATTATTTAAAAAAAATGAACATTTTGGGTATTAAAATTATATTAATTTTTGGCAAAAGTTTGTACAAAATTTAAAATTACACTAAATAACTTTTTATGCAACCACTTATGAAATGCCTTATTTTATGTAACGAGTGAATATTTACGATGCTCCGCAATATGAGCGAGTTACATAAAACGGCATTTCGTAACGTTTTACATACAATATTTTTAAATTTTGACTAGATTATTTATAAAATTGTGACAGGCAACCAATATTACTTCCTTGTGTTGTCATTTGCATATGCATAACATAAATCATTTTATTGACAAATAGAAAAATATATTAATTTATTCTCAACGACTTGCAGTGTTTTTATATTGTTAAAATTTTTTAGTTTTTAAAAAGTGGGTTATTTTGTCGTGTATTGTCTTAAAATATTTTTTCTAATTTTGACATATAAAGAGACATGTTTTGTGCAAGTGTCAAAATAATCTAACCAGTTTCACAGTTTCGAAAAATTCATTATATCACCAGTTGCGAAAAGAAAATAAATAAAAACTTGTCAATAAAAGAATAAAGTTAATCATATGCAACTAACAATACAAGAAAGTAGTAATATTGGTTGCCTACATGCCAGAACATTTTACCGAAATACAATTATATAAATTATCTAGTCAAAATTAGAAAAAATATTGTATGTAGTACGTTACGAAATGCAGTTTCAAGTAACTCGCTTATGTTTCGGAACCCCGCTCTGCTCGTCCTGCAAATATTCACTCGTTACTTAAAATAAGGCATTTCGTAACTGGTTTCATAAATAGCTATTTTGCAGATTATGAATGGAAAATAAGGACCAAAACAACATTATTGCTAGGCTGTAAGTTTATCTAAATTCTATTTTGAAACCAAAAAAGGTTTATTTTTATTTGTTTTTTTTTGCTACTGCTGACATATTAAATTTTTTGAAACCAGTTTTAAAATTTTCAACATTATGCAACTGGTTGCGTAAAGTAAATCATTTTGACACTTTACCCTGGTCAATTTAGACATAAAAATAGTGATGAAATAACAAAAATTCTGACACAGTTAAATTCTGGTAGCCATCGGGTGTACCAGTAGAAATAAAGTGCCAAAAGTCTCCATTGATCCCGTGGGTGCTAAAAAAGTTATTTAACATCAAAGTCAAAATTTTCGGTTTTTTTTAGATTTTTCTCGAAAACGGTTTTATTAAAAATATAGCCTAGACAGAAGTCTGAGCTATATTTTTGATAAAACTTACCGTTCAAGAAAAATCTAAAAAAACCGAAAATTTTGACTTTGACCTTGAATAACTATTTTAACATTCATGGGATCAATGGGGACTTTTGGCACTTTATTTCTACTGGTGTACCCAAGGTCTCTACGAAAATATACCTATATCGGAATTTGTGTTATTTGAAGTGTCTTTATTGATCGGACTTGCTGCGATTACAAACAATGTCACTTTATATGTCAAAATAAGAAAAAGATTTTATACGATATTTTTTATTATATCATCATGTTCTACGGCCAAACATAACTAAAATCAGTTTTTAACTAATTTTAGACGCAAAATATGTTATGTAATTTTTTTAGAAAATAATTTTTATTTGGAAAATTACCAATTTTAGCTTTACACTAATTATACACCATGTCCCACGCATTACAACTTTATAAAGAATAAATTAATTTGTATTTTCGCCAATATCTGGTAATGAACAATCGAATATATGTTCTCTTAAATTAAACTAAAATGAACTATGTGCGCCTTCCGGTTATACCGGAAGTGACCACTAACTTCGTTATTTTTAATGGAATAGCCTATATTTTGTTTTAAATTTGATATTCTGCATAAAATTATGTAAACAATGATCCGCATTTGCCTATTCTAATTCTAGCGAATTTGACGTTATTCAATTTTTTCTAAATTTTTAGTCGCCGATAGACATTTTCAAGTCGTCTATCTCAGGTACTATTTCTATTTGATACTTGAAATTTTAGCCAGAGGTAGTACAGTCTGTTCGCTATACTTACGCAGGTTTCAGAATAACAAAATTATGCAGATTAATCATTGACAACCAGTTCCAACAAGCCTCTTTCCAAGAAATTAGGTAAAATTGCCCTAATGGTCAGATTTAAATTAAAATAACATTAGGGTAGGTACTAAATTTGTTACAAATATTGCAGTTGAATTGATTCTTTGCAAGTGTTGACATTGGATGTATATTGTAAATTTAGTGGAAATTTTAAAAATGCCTAGACGTGTGTTAGATGTAGATAGTCCAATTTGTAGGATGAAAAATAAAATGGCGGTCCTTTAAAATCGGTAATGTCTGTAAAACAACGCGTATGCGATGCTCTAGGAATTAGTGAAACCAAATTAAGAGAAGTATTACAAAATCACAATAGTGAACTGTCGAAAGAAGATCACCGCAAAACTCGCCCATCATTGAAAACAAAAGATATTCCAGATTGAAAGAAATTTGAAATTCGTTATACCATTTATCGAATGAGGGCCAACAAGGAACATGTGACCTTAAATACAATTCTCTCGGAATAGATAGAAAATTTGACGACATTGGCAGAACAAGTCTATGGCAAGTGATACATAACTTGGGTTTCAAATTTCCAAAGGAGGATAACACAAAGGCCCTTTGTGAACGAAGTTCTGTCGTGCACAAGAGAATTTACTTTCTGAGAAAATATTCTAAATTTAAAGAAGAAGGGGCGAATTTTATATATTTAGACGAAACCTGGATATTTTATAGGGGTGTAACCAAGAGAATATGGCAAGATGATAACGTCTATCAAACATACCGATGGAGAAGGGAAGCGACACATAATTTTACATGCAGGAGAGAAATCGGGTTTTATAGAAGGTGCAGATTTAATATTTTCATCTAAATCAAAATCCAGTGACTATCACGATAATATGAACACAGAAATGTTTGTTAAATGATTGCATGAAAAACTTCTCCCAGGTTTAAGTGAGCCCACCGTAATTATTTAAGGCAATGCACCTTACCATTTTGAAGTATTAAACAAAAGTCCAACGAATTCTTGGACTGTTGGTAAAATTATATAATGGTTATAGTGACGACGCAGTTGGGGAAACTTGGCGAAAAGCACTTTCAATTGCAACTCCAGAAGTGTGGCGGAACTGTATATCCAAGTGCAAGAAACTAATAGAAGATTGGTAAACTCGTGAAAATAAAATAAACGAAATAAGTCCAATCATAATAACAATTAATGGTGATGACTGTGATGATGATGACGATTATGATATTTTGGATGATAATGACTGATTTTCATTTTTGTTGGCAAGTTTCATTTTTTTATTTTTCATTTGAAATTCTCTACATGGAACAAATTTTTATGTTAGAAAATATTTTATTTGAGCTAAATAACCCTCTTATTATACATAGACCATATTTTCCGTGTGAAGTGTAATATAAAATTATTATTAGGTTTATAATAGCCACATTAGACTAGATTATTATTTAATTAAAAAGTTGTACATTATTTTTCATTTCATTTAACCAGTTGATATTTCCCCAAAGAATAGGTCAAACTTTCGGGTACTTACCTAGAAATACTCATAAAATTTTTAATCCGAAACCCGCGTTAGTATAGCGAACAGACTGTAGATGGGATTTAGTTTTAAGAAATATTTATTTGTACATTGTTTGTTGTACGGGGTATTTTAAAAATGAAATAATATAAAAAACTTTTTTATTTTAAACGGAACACACTTTATGTTTTTCACGTTTTAGATTCAGCATGAAATTCTGTAAACTATGACACCCCATTTATTTAATTTTGTTCGAAAATTTGTTGTATTGACATTCGACTATTTAAATTATCGAGAGCCATTCTAATGGAGGCGTGAGGATACGGTGAAATACCCTAATACGTTAATTACATTAACTTTTTCTACTCGCACTTAATGCTGACGATTTCTTCCCGGGTTTTAT